TATAATGGATATGTGCATATATATAAAAACATAAAAATTTGAAAATTGTGTGGTATAACGGCTCGAAGAAAGGGTCAATCTGATATTGAATGCACTCGCCATAATAGTAGAAGCAAACTTTATGACATTAAAACATTAAGCCGTTTTTTATTGCTGTGCTCTTAAAGTCGGCTTAATTAAGGCGTGTGCCAACTTCTACATCGCGAAAAACGCGCGTGCGAACGCGACAATTATACAATATAATTCGGGTCAATGTAAAAAAAACTTACAGTATCTTGAATGCAGGAAGGATTTATAATATTTTATACCGTTTATCATGCATATAAATTCGTAGCCACTTTAAAAAAATTTTTTTGAATATCTCATATATTTATTAATATCTAATAAAATATTTTGATATACTATTATTAATATTTCTTAGGATAAAGTATATCAGTATAAAAGTCGCAAACAATATGTATATGAATATATCGATTTGTCTGATGGCACGGATTACGTTCCAGCATCTTTATTGTCCTGAAACATACTTGATTGAATCACATTGTGGGATAAACTCCAGTACAGTTAGCTTGTAGATAGTTCGATTTATCATCGAATCAACACTGTCCTCGTAAGCAAGGAACTGTGTCAGAAAAATCGCTGTCAATCGAAGCGAATAAACGGTATCTCATTTTAAATCGCTGCGAAACTGGACCGATTCGCGTTTCTATTTGCTTTTTTTATTCGAATTTTTCAAATTTTTTATCGTGATAGACTATGATCTGGTTATATTGTGGTTATTCTTTATCGATTACGTAAAATAGGAACAAAGAGGTCACAAATTTTTCTCTTTCTCTTTTTAGATTTTTTATATTATTTTTAATATAAATTATTGGCGCACTTTTGGTAAAAGTTTTGGTTATGCAACTTTGCAATTGAATTTTACAAATAAAATAATAATTAAATAATAAATTTTATAATATATGGGAGAATTAACACTTCTTTGTGTAAATTATATATATCTGAAATACTTTATATACATATTAATCCATGAATTGAAGTTATTTTAAAAATTCGACAAATATTTATAACACGAGAGACAATAAAAAAATGTAATACAGTTGTTTCTAAATTGCTTGGTTAATCATTGAGATAGAGAAAAGCTAATCTGTAATATGCTTGTAATTTACATTGCAAACAAATTCAGAAAGTCTAACCGCACTTAAGTTTACTAAATTAAGCGAGTTTCTAACTTTGTTCCAAAAATACTTGTATATTTTTTGTATAATGCGGAAATGGTGCATGTCACCTGCATTCTTCACGCCAGATTATTACAATTTCTTCTAGGATAGTTTTTTAACTGATATAAATTGTATAACAATTAGACAGTCTTTTAATTTAGTCGTATATTTGTCGTTAAAGTTCAAGATGAATTGTAATAAAGTCGTAACTAGACGTAGAGATGTTTTTTGGATCACGACGTTGCGAAGAGAGAAGACGGCTTCTTCGCACACCAAACACCATTCGGCTATTCTTGGTCTACATCGTTATTTACAGTAGCTCTTTGCTGTAATTAATTAGATGGTCGTATAGAAAGAAGTAGACTTAGGATGCGACGGTGTATTTGCTACTACGTGCATTTTGTTGCGGTGAACCGAGCATGTAGTGTTCAGCAACTTTGTAAGCGACATACTTACTAATTTAATATCATGCTTTAACTCTTGACCTTATACGAATTCAGGCCAGTTAAAAAAAAAGATACATTCTTGTCTTATAATTTTATGCTTTTCTTATTTTATTTTTATTCTTTCTCTTGTAAGTTTTTTATTACTTAAAGCTTATTTTGAACAGATATTTTTTTCAAATAAAGTTGTACATAATACTTTTTTTTTTATAAGATATCATTGCATTTGTAAAATAAATATTTCAGTTTTTTGTTTCTTTTCAAGAGATTTTTTTAAAATTGAATAAATATACGGGGACAAAAAGGATATATTTCACGAATGTGGTTTTCGGAATAAATTCTCGCCCGCGGTGAAATCAATCTCAAATCTCTTCGAAAATGTATTCATGTCATCGCTACTCACATCTCCTGATATCCTTCAACGTAAACGCATAAATATTTTGCTATCAACGTGGATCCCATATTCCTTCTTCCCCATCTTTCTTTATCAGCTCACATTTCTAAAGCTCGAGTTTTTACGATCTATATCCGCACGTCATATATATATAGATCGCGATCTGTCAACACCTATCATCACGCAATTTTATATCATTTCCTCTTTGCAATATGATGAACGCATCGCATTATTCGTAGGTAACTTCCTCGCGAGGACACTCAGGACCCGTTGACTCATCCCGCGCCTCTTCAACGGTATGAACATCTGTTGGTTTGTCTCCCATATATCGCGTTGTTCCGGCTAACTGTACAGTGTATTGCGCGAGATGAGCTATGCGAGGGTCTAATGATTTCGAGATTGCTTTTGGGCATAACTTGTATATGTATAGAGAAAATTGAAGGGTTTCTTACAGTTGCGTCATCTTAACAAATGGCTGAGAAACGGCCAAGTTTCGAATTCCCGTTGTAGTCAATTTATTTTTGGTTAGAGTCTAAATTTAGAAGCCATTTATTTTATAAAATAGTTTCAAAATTATAGAGAGAGTACCCAGAATAATTAATATTTAAAAAAATACAATTTAAAAAAAATTACGTGTAATTAAATTTTTCATTACTTCTTTAAAAAAGATATCTAAAGAAAAGATTATTTAATCTCATTACAAAAAAAATTTTATTTAAATTTTATCCAATTACATAATAATAAAAATCCAATTTTTACATAAAAATAATCTAAATAATTATTAATCTTAGATTTCTCAAACAAGAATGAAATATTTTAAATGTATCTATTCAAAAATATTAATTAATATAAATATTTTATTATAAACTCTTTAAGGATTTCGAAATATAAAATCTAGAATATTACATTATATAATAATTTAAAATACTGCCAAATGCAGATATAAACAAGAATAATTAATTTAATAAATAATAATAATAACTTAAATAAATTATAAATTACTCACAGTTGTGCTTTATTATTGTCCGATGTCTGCCTAAAGTCCTTTCCTTTTTCTCTCTTATTTACTACTCCTTCATGACACTCTCACTCGCAAAAACATGATTAATTACGCGCGCACAAGAACCTTAAGGATCATATGACACTTTGCCCAACACACCCGATAATCACATTAATTACATGCGATGCGTATTTATATTTCGATGATAGAATAAATGCGAAAACTACAATTTATATAATATGCGAAATTTGATAAATATTAAAACACGGAATTAATAATAACAAATTGTGTTCTTTCTAATTAGACACAGCGCGACGTTTACTAATTAATATAAATGCCGCTCGACTCGAATTCGATCCATACTGTACCAGTGACGTTTTGTTAATGACCGAAAAACACGAAAATGATAATTTTACTCTGACATTACGTGAGTCGAGTTAATTACTAGTTAAAATATGATGGACTGATAGGTAATATATAATTCCGTAGATTTTTAAGGCATAAATCCCGTGAAATATACACATATTATTAATAAAAAATTGATATATTATACTCTTCCGCTACTTGAATCAAGTACGCATCGCCGCGATATTCTTACGTATCGTTCTAAGATGCGAAAGTATACTATTTATTGTTACAACTGATAAATTTGCGGGTTGATGATTGTTGATTGTAATAATCTTTTCCGAAAGATTATGACAATATGTGGAATGACTCGCGCTGCTGCGTGTTGGCTTGAATCTCATGTGACAAGGCTACGGGCGGTATGTAAACAACAAAACGCTACGTCAACAATCGCAAAAACCAAACAGCATAGTTAAATTGTTGCCATTACGAAATATGAAATAAAAGTACGCGGGAAATATTACATTTCTTGAATTTTATAAACTAATTACTAATTACGGTTTTTTGTTACTTTATATAAGGAAGACTAATTTTACGAGAGGACTGAGTCGAAGGCTGCCAAAATACTTGTATGTAGAGACAAGAATTTTATTGATGAATCCTTTCTTTCTTATATGTATAATGTATAACGTATAACGTTTTTTATAACGTGTGTCGATAGAATAATTACAAACTTTTCATCTCTCTGCGCGTCGATTCTTGCCCCTTCTCCTATTCGATCTCTTTTGTTAGTAGTAGGATTTGCCCCACTAGGCCGCACATACCGCCAGATATGTAAACATGGACACGTCGCTATTTCTTACATTTAATGTTAGTATTACACGATTCTGCGATTCGTATCATATTGTGTGTTCTTAATCCAAGAGAATGATTAGCAAATTACATCTAAGTTGGCAAAACGAAAGATAAGCATTGTGTGTCGTTGATTAGAAAATATGTATGAGTTATTTATAGACGCGAGCAATTTTGCACTACATATTTGGAATAAGTGAGAACTGAAGTGTTTCCATTTGATGAGAAATTAGGTAAGATTGACACACTCATGATCATAACATGTTCAGTTTATTTAATAATTGCAAATATATTTAGGGAGTATATAATCAATCAGATATTAATTCAATTGTAGTATTTGCAGAGCGAAAAAGATATTGTATGATAAGATAAAGATGAAAAATAATCGTTCAACATGTATTTCATAAAAATATATATTTTTATAATCGAGAATTAAATTATCTATAAATTATATTAAAAGTTATTTTTTGAATATTGTTTCTGGAATTTTTAGCCAGATATAAATATTTTAAAAACAAATTCTATAAATTACGGAGAATAAGCGTAAGTCGGAGACGACGATAATTAAAACTTTGAGGACTACAAGAGAGGAAAGGCAAATGCGTGTTGAAAGTAGAATCGAAAGAAAGTCATTAACACTTGCCGTTCTCATTTATACCTCATATAACGCATGAATCGGTAGAAACCGGTGAAATGTAGTAACATGTAAACAAGATCCAAGCGAATGACAGTGTGGGCTAGAATAAATCCGATGCTATCGGACACCAGTTAAGTGGATCCACGGAGAACGTTAATTAACATATTTAATATCCGGTTTCGCATATTCGTTTTATAAATTGCCAGCGCGACCTCGAAGATTCACGATCAAACCGAGATAAAGAACGCGAGCGCGTTTGTAAATTCCTGAGTAAATTTGGTATTCTATCGTCTAGCGTGCGTGTACGCTAGTTTTTCCTGCCGATTGTATAAATTATGCTCGCGCAACAGCGTAACAATGTAATAGTGTAAATTATTTCGCGTACAGTATAAATTATTCCAGATTATTCACGCAATATTACGCGGCGAAGAAACTCAGAATTAGAAAACGCTCCGACGAAGAAAAATCCGCCGAGAAAAAGCAGTTAATTAGTAGAAATATTAGAATTTAATATCTTGAATTAATGTATTCGATGATTGACAAAGATTTTCGTGCCTTGTTGTTTTCAGTGGCGTTCTCGTGAAGATACTTGCTATAATAAATTAGACGATCTATCAATGAAATTACTAATTTGTAATCTCTATAGATTATATCGATCGGTTTAGACAGATTTGTTTAATTACAATTTAAACTATCGCGTTTTTAATTATCTCAATCGGTTAACATAATAATTACGTTGATGATATAGATATTTTTTACTCTGTTGACTATTCTTGAATCTCTTTCGTGTTTATTTTGACGAAAGAAATTATGCTTGACGTAATGGCACAAGTTATGCAATGCAAATAACTTTGAATCTAATAAAATACTCTACAAGTCTTCGCGAAATTTTAAATTACATTAATGAATAAATAAAATAAATTTGTGAATGAACGTACTATAATATTAGATATATAAGTTGCTATAAAGTAAAAGTTGCTATATTTTAAAGTTATTTTAATACATAACGTAGAAGTTGTTTTACAAATGATAAATAAATGATTAACGCATGCAATGCTAATGAAATTCGTAAATTTATAGATTATTTAAATAGCATATGTTATGTTGTCTCATTAAATATCAATCGCTATATTAAATGCATTAATTGCGAATATCGTGTTTATTGATATTATCCTTGATATTTACAAATTACTAATTTGTAATCTTTAGATTATAGCGAACGGTTTAGATACATTTGTTTAATTAGAATTCGAACTATCGCGTTTTTAATTATCTCAATCGGTTAATAGAATAATTGCGCTGATGATATAAATATTTTTCACTCTGTTGACTACTCTTGAATCTTTTTCGTGTTTATTTTGACGAAAGAAATTATGCTTGACGTAAGGGCACAAGTTATGCAATGCAAATATCTTTAAATCTAATAAAATATTCTATAGTCTTCGAGTAAGTCTTCGAGAAATTTTAAATTACATTAATGAATAAATAAAATAAACTTGTGAATGAACGTGCTATAAGATAGATAAGTTGCTGTAAAGTAAAAGTTGTGTACTTTAAAGCTACTTTAATACATAACGTACAAGTTGTTTTACAAATGATAAATTTATGCATGCAACGCTAATGAAATTCATAAATTTATAGATCATCTAAATAGCACATATTATGTTGTCTCATTAAATGTTAATCGCTGTATATTAAATGCATTAATTGCGTATTGAATATCGTGTTCATTGATATTATCCTTGATATTTGATTTTTTTTTTTAAATACATCAGGGGATATAAGTTCGTAGTATACATGATTGTCTTATCTTTGGAAATAAATCATTATGTTGTGCAGAGTGATGAGATATAAAGTTTTAACGATAAAACGAAAACTTTGCGCATTGGCTCAGCATAGCCATTAATCTTCTTACGATTTTTATATTCGGGAATGTCGAAGCATTCCAACTGCCTCTCTTATCGGAAAGAAATATATAGAGTGCAACGGCCGCGATTAGTTAGCGAGAGATTTCGCGACGAATGAGCGAGGAGAATCAACCAGAGTCGATTAAGACTCGTTAATTAACATACTTCTTTAACTGCCGATCGATATTACTTTATAATCGAAGTTAATTTCTCCGCTTAGGCTGGTGCTATTAGTTATGGCGCAATTTCTAAAGATAAAGTATTAAGTAGAAACGTGATTGGGAAAAGATTGCATACCAAGAATATTTTTATAGACTGCCGGATGAAGTTCTTTTTTCATTGTCGCTTAATCCGCCGTGTGTCTCAAGGTAACCCCGTTTCACGCATGCTTATTAAACCAATTACTACTTATATTTAACACGCGCGCGTAAAAACTGCTATTAATTAATGTTTTTTGCTGGAATATGTGTTTCAATGTTATTATATATTTCCATTATACATATTTAAAAAAAAGTAAAAGATCATTTTTTTCTCTTTTCACACAAAATGAATATTATAAATATAATATAGATAATTAATAAAATTAAATAATCGATTATAATTAAATAGCGATATTTGCAAATTTTCCAAATTATGATAATATATCACATTACAATCGATTGTTATTAAGATATTTAACTAAAGATTGAGATACGCAGTTTTTTTAATACAGGGATAATAACATTTTCCATTCCTATGCTCTTAAATATTTTTTACCCTATTTTTCTGTATTAAGAATATATATAATAAAAAAATTTATTTTACCCTTTAATACCAATTTTGTAAAATGCGACATCAATCGGCGCGATTAAAAATAACTAATAATTAATAAAATCGGCGCGAATTATGTGAGTTGCGATGGTTTTTGACAAATTCTGGAACGTCATTCACTTTCTTTCGAATTTTACGGTGTTGAGAGAATCAGCAAGATTAATTTTCACGGTGGCTCGATGCGCGAAGGACGAGGCGACTCGCGGATAGAATGGAGAATGAAAACTCCTCCGGTAAAACTAGTTGCTCGACAAAAACTAGACGCTATTCAAAGGCCGTTTGTAGCATGCAGCGGGTCCGATGAAAGAGCAGAAGGAACGGACGAGTTGCTTGCTCGCTCGCTCGTTCGTTCGTTCAGAAGTAGAATAGAAGCAAAATAAGGCGGAAGGAGAAAGAGAGAGATGTATGTATGCATCGAGATGACTCTCGGAAGGATAACCGCAGCGAGAAAAGAACGAGCCTGGACAGCCAGGACGAAATGATTTCGTTAAGGAAGACCGCACATGTCGTCGGACTTTCCTAAACTCTTTCCTAAAATCTTTTTTTTATTAAACAAGGAGTTTCTAGGCGAGAAGGATAAGGTTTATAATTATTTGCGTCGTATGCGTGGATGACTGAAATGAATCGTGATTAAATTGACTACTACGTTCGAAAAATTAGGCATATTAAATTCCTTTGAAAAATAACATTTTATTATATGTATATGAATATCTGTTTCTCTCTCTCTCTGTATTACGTTTGTTAATTACATTATATATTTATATATGTAAAAGATTTATCTGATGTGTGTCATTAGAGAATTATACATCTATACTTACAAATACTGCAATATTTGAGGCAAATGGATGTGTAAACATTTTCAAAGTTAATTTCTGAAAGATTTATTATTTTACTTACCTAGTTTTTTTATTCACAGAGAATAATCAATTACATATCTACGTTAGGCGCGTATTTTTGGTCGGATTATAACAAAATTTTATTAAATATATAAATTTTATTTTATAATCGAATTTTATTAATACATGTTTTAGTTCTAGAAAGAAGTACGCAATTAAAGTTAACACTGATTCTACTAAAACCGTCATTAGTGACCCGCTTCTATCTTTATTGACCAGAAAGTGGAAACTGCGCCAAAAGTCTTTGACCTATTTCTTACTTTAAATATAATATTATTTGAAGCAGTCTCGTAAAAATCTGAGTAATTACAGAAGATATACGGATAATATATATATATATTTATATCTATTTTGTGTATATGTATAAAATTAGATAAATAATATGTAGTATATGTGTATGTTATATGAAAAAGGTAATATATATACATTTACGTTATGAATATATCGATAATACGAGATCTCTTCTCGGAGAATGATTTCAAAATTTTGCAGTATTTTCCTCAATTTCTTTTTCTTTCTACTGGCAATTGAAGAAGATAATTAATAAGCTGTTCACTGAGAATGATGTCGGAATGCAAAGGACTAATGTTTAAATTACAGTATTATAATAAGCCCACAATAAAGAGTATACGTCGCTGTGGATAAAGTAGAATTAAACATATTAACCCGTCGTAAGCGATACCGTAAAATAATCCGTCAGAGATGCACGCGCGGATGCTGCACGAGAGAATATGTATCAGTAGCTGTTGTCGTCGAGTGACATTTGAATATGCACGAGTTATTTAACCGATTCGATAACGTAAACGGTCTACCTTAAAACGACGAATCTACATCTGACTTGCAAAAAGCTGTGTGCTTACGACTTTCCATACTTGATCATGCCGTCTTTTTTAATTTTTGCGTCCACCGTTGGACCTGTTGTCTTATCATCATATTCTCATCAGTTTTCCTATCGTGACGCGCGATCTTCCTGTGTCGATGCG